TAGTTAGGATATAGATTTGGCTTTTGTAATAGAGGCTTCAAAATAACAATGGCTTAAAATGATAGCAGTTTTATACCCATGTTGATAGCAGAATTATTCACAATAGCCAAGAGGTGGAAGCAACCCAAGTGTCCACAATGGATGAATAGATAAAATCTGGAATACTATGGAATATTACTTAGCCTTATAAATAGGAAGGAAATTCTGGCATATGCTACAACATGGATGAACCTTGAAGATGTTATGCTAAGTTAAATCATCCAGTCACAAAAAGACAAGTCTTGTCTTGATTCCACTTAGATGAGGTTCCTGGAGTAGTTAAATTCATAGAAACAGAAAGTAGAATGGTGGCTGCTGGAGGCTGGGGGAGCAGGAAGTGGGGAGTTAGTGTTTAATGGATGTAGAGTTTCAGTTTTGCAAGAATAAAAGTCCTGGAAATTGGTTTCATGACGATGTGAATATACTTAACACTATTAAGCTGTACAGTTGAAAATGGTCAAGATAGTAAATTGTGTGTTAGGTGTATTTTACCACAGCTAAAAATCTTTTGTGTGTGAGGAAGATTGAGCTAACATCTGTTGCCAATCTTCCTCTTTTTCTTTTTCATTCTCCCCAAAGCCCCAGTACATAGTTGTACTAGGTGTAAGTCATTCTACTTTGTCTATGTGGGACGCTGCCTCAGCATGGCCTGATGAGCAGTATGTAGGTCTGCTCCCAGATCCAAACCTGTGAACCCGAGGCCGCCAAAGCGGAGTGTGTGAACTTAACCACTCGGCCATGGGGCTGGCCCCCGCAGAAAAATTTTCATGGACAGTAAAAAAAACAGGCAGAAGTTTTATTTCTTTCTCAGGTAACAGATCTAAGCTGGACTCTGCAGAGCCCTCTGCATTCCAGGTCCTCCCAGTGCCCTGCCCTGTCGTATCTAGAGTGGCGCTCTTGTTGCATTCTCAGAGGTGGCCCCTGTCCGGTCTGCCTCCACCAGCAGCAAAGGCAGAGGGGAGGGGCCCACATGCTTCCTTTAAGGGCCTGTTTCAGATATTGAACATCCTTCCTACTTACATTCAACTGGCCAGAATTTGGTCCACTGGATCACAGGGAATCTGGGAAAGGCAATCTTTATTTTATTTTTGAGGAAGATTAGCCCTGAGCTAACATCTGCCACCAGTCCTCCTCTTTTTGCTGAGGAAGATTGGCCCTGGGCTAACATCCGTGCCCATCTTCCTCTACTTTATATGTGGGATACCTGCCACAGCATGGCTTGATGAGTGTTGCGTAGGTCCACACCCGGGATCTGAACCGGCGAACCCCGGGACACCGAAGTGGAACATACAAACTTAACCACTACGCCACTGGGCCAGCCCCTGGGAAATGTAATCTTTAGCTGGGCAACCAGGTGTCCAGCTAAAATCTCTATTATTGTAGAAAAAGAGGAAAATTGTGAGACAGAAGTTTCTGTCATTTGTTGAGTGCTCACCTACATCAGTTCATGTACATCTCAAAACAGCCTTAAGATGAAGGTTTCTCCTCATCAATAAGAAGAGAAAACTGAGGCTCAGAGTCGAGGTAACTCGCAGCAGTAACGTTGCAGGGCAAGAGTTTGCCAGCCGATCTGTGTATCGCGCAGCCTGCTCTCCGCTCTCCCCTGGCTTCTTGAGAAATTAGCGTCTCTAGGGCCTACTGTAACTTTAGCCATTTTGATCCTGGTGATTCCATTCCTTGGCTTAACTACGCTCAAGGGAAGTTATGAAATAATGCAATAATGGAAACATCTCTTCTTTTCCAGAAAAAGTACACGCTGAAATCAACAGCGTGATAGGCCCGGGGCAGCAGCCGAGCACAGCGGCTCGCACGTCCATGCCCTACACCAATGCCGTCATCCACGAGGTGCAGAGGATGGGGAACATCATCCCCCTGAACGTGCCCAGGGAGGTGGTGGTCGACACCAGCCTGGCCGGGTACCACCTGCCCAAGGTGATGAGGGCCTCCCAGCCTCAGCTTTTCACGCTCATCTTTTTAAATGGTGGGAATCTGAACTTGAAAAGTGACATGTATTCTTGTCCTGAGGAATCACTTAAATGGGGAGAGAGATGTATGATGCGTGACTTAATACCGGGTTTTATTCTCCGCGTGTGGTCTTCAGAACATTAATTCAAGTAGATCTTAATCGTTATTGTGGAGGGGAAAGGGACTCCTAGTGAGATGCGTTTAGGCACATGCTGATCTTCTTTGCTGTGGGATTTCTCCGCGTTTTCACTGTGCAGTGTGTGCCATGAGTGTATGGGGCTGCAGGGCAGCAGGTCTCAGCCAGAGTTTGCCGTGCAACCTTTTTCTTTGCCTGGTAGAGCATCTCAGGACTAGGGCCTGCCAGACTGACTTTGGAAAATTCTGCTTCACAATCCTGGGGTTCTAGAATATTAAAATATCAAGGGACGTTTGAGACCACTTGGGCCAGCATCACATTACTGCTGGTGTTTCTAACATAATACCCCCACAGGTATTTTCCTGCTTTTACTTACAGCCCTGCGATGGGGCTGTCCACAAGGGAAACCAGTCCAAGTGTGTGCAGTATTAATTATGAGACAGGGAGAGAAAGGAACCAATGCTTATTAAGCAATAATTATGTGCCACGGACTCTATAGGTTCTTTCACAGTGTCTCCTCAGGGCTCAGAGTAGCTCTGTGATTCATGTTTGATCAGTTGGGAAGTCGAGGCTCCTGGGGACTGAGCCTGTGGAAGGTCCCAACTGCAGAGTGATGGGAGTTGGGTTCCAGACCAGATCTGTTCTGATTCCCAGGCTTATCTTGTTTGCACTACACCATGTTCTCTACACAGGCTGTGCTTTACTTTGTGAACGCATCTCCCTGCAGTTGTGCTCAGTAGGTAGGTCCACGATGGATTCCGCCTTCACAGAGGAAGTTCCATTTCACTGCGCCCACGGGTCAGATGATCTCAGCAGACAGCTGTCCTGCGCCCCTGCGTGTCCTCTGTGCACACTGTACATTCACAGGTCCTTGCTTTCTCACCACCTGGGTCAGCCTCTGTGGACCCATTCCAATTTGTCTGTGTCCCTCTGCATGTGTCCTACCTGGAGATAGACCCAGAGGACCTTACCCACTGGACACCACTTGGTCACTGTCCCTGCAGAGCTAGGAGGAGCAGCTATTTCTGCAGCTGTTGCATTCACTGTTTTCTTACCAGTTGACCATCGTGTGGGTGCAGGCAGAGGTCTAAATTATTTCACAGGTAGTGTTTGTGTTTTTCAAGTAATTCATTTAGCTCAAGGGAACCAGCCCAGCTCAGTAGACTGGTTCTACCACTGATTTTTAAGATCGACTTTAATAACCATCCTGGAAACTGAGAGAGCTAGTCGACTGTGTGTTGTAGAGGCTGGGAGCCGCATCTTTGATGTCACAGGGATCTAGTTCAAATCATAGCTCTACCTCGTCCCGCTGTGTGACTCTGGGCACGTTATTTAACCTCTCAGAGCTTCAGTTTCTTTGTCTGCAGAATGCATTTAAACGTACCTCACAGGTGGAGGGAAAATGAGGTCATGCATGTAGAACATTTAATTTAGTGCTTAGTACAGAAAGTGCTCAAAATAATAGTTTTATTTTTTGTATTAATTCAACAAATGTTCATTAAGCACCGATAATGCTCAGGTCTCGGAAAACAACCCTGAGTAAAATAATCACGCAAGTACGTACTTACAAACCATGATAACTGCCCAAAGGAAAAAACTCACTGGTTTCTATAAAGATGCAGGTGAGCTGGGCTGGGGAGTAGAGGCAGGAGTGGTCAGAGAAGGCTTCCGGAGGAAGTGATGTTTGAGCTGAGGATTAAAGGATGATTAAGAGTTAGCTCCATGACAGAGGAGGAAGAACGTTCCAGGCGAGGTGAGCAGCATGTAAAAAGGCACGGAAATGAGTGAGGACATGGTGTTTTTGAGAAACTGATTGAAGGGCGCTGTAGTGGGAATGCAGGCAGGAGAGTGTCGCAGACAGGGGTCAGGTGATGGGTCCTTCAGCTAAGAATGATGGGAAGCTATTGAAGGGTACCAAGTTCAAGGTGTGGGTGGGTGGGTGTGACTTGGTTAAATCGTGTTCAAAGCTCACTTGGGTTTCAGATTGTGGAGCAGATTGAAAGGGGAAAGAGGGGATATGGGGCATAGCTAGGCACCTATTATAGAAGTATGGGCAAGCAGTATGGCCTGGACGAAGATGGCAGCGGCGGACAGAGAATGGAGGTGACAGAATCAAGAGAAATTTAAAGTTGACCAGGCTCGCTGAAGAGTTGTGTGAAGGCGGAAGGGGAGGCGTTAAGGAGAACTCCTGGGTTTCTTGCCATGTGCCTGGATGGCTCGTTGTTCCTTTCGCTGGGCGACCTGAATCTATTATGAATCCTCCTGTGGAGTGTCCTAGACATTGGAGGGAAGAGAATGGAAGAAACAGAGCTGAGACCTTGGTAGAGATGCCATAGTTATCACTTCACTGAGCAGTTGAGTTAATTTTGGTACAGTACTGACTGGTCAGCTGTTGCGTTATTTTCTCATTGGGGCATACCTGTCCCCTCCCAAGTTCTAAACTGACAAGTCCCCTGAGAGAAGATCTGTTCTGCAGTCAAGAGTGGCTGCACTTCCCTGGTAAACTTCTCACCAGGTAATTCCAGTTCATCATCGTAAGCTGTCCCGTGACCAAGAGCAGGGTTCTGGGGACTGTCTCAGAAGACGGTGGTTTGGGGAGGGTGAGGGAGTTCAGACTGTGGTCGGGTCCTGGCGGGGGAGCCCGAGGACTGCCAGCCCTCTGCATAGGTGTGTCGCTTGGGACCAGCCTGACTGAGTTTTTGCTGCCTTCCCTAGGGGACCATGATCCTGACCAATCTCACTGCGCTGCACCGGGACCCTGCAGAGTGGGCCACTCCCAACACCTTCAATCCAGAGCACTTCCTGGAGAATGGACAGTTTAAGAAAAGGGAAACCTTTCTGCCTTTCTCAGCAGGTGAGTTGTGATACACAGGAGTGGAAGAATCCGCCCTCCCCTCAGCCCTCCCAGCTCTTTTCCCGGCATCCTTTGCTGTGGTTGGAGTGTCTCCAGATAGCCTGCCGAGCGTGACTCCCTCTTGCTCTTCCTCGCCCCGCAGGATCCCAAGCTGGGTGTTGCTTCAGGCTATCCGCACTTCCTAAATCCTCCCTCTAGGGGGACAGTGGGGACAGAGACGCAGACCCTGCCTCTTGCCCCCGAAGAAGGTTGGACACTTGCCATCTTCCTGGAGTTTTTAAATGTCCGGAATTCTTTTTAAGGGCCACCCACTCACACAGAACTAGAGCCGATTTATAATAAGGAGACGGGGAGGGGACAAGGAAAGGGGTTCTTGCTTCTCACTATGGGCATCGAGTGACTCTGAATGCCCTGGGCTTACCTGAATGGGATTCTACTCCATAAGTGCTCCTTCAAGAGGTCCTTTTGCCTTTTTAAATTTTAATTACCCTTTAAAAATCTAGTTAATACATTTATACGGTACACAACTTGAAAGGTACAAAAGAGGATGCAGTGAAAACTCATGTTTCCAAGCCAGCCAGTTCCAGAAGGGTGTTTTAACTTACAACATTGTAAAATGAATAATGTACATTTTTGGTATATTCCAGCTACCGAGTTAGATGTGTTGCCTGGATTATTTCAAGTAATTTCCCAATTGCTTAATTCTATAAATATTTCCTGGGCATCTGTTTTGTGTCAAGCATTCAGCCCAGAGGATATGACAATGAAAGAAGTAGAAAACACTGCTCTCATGGAGCATGTGTTCTAGTGCGACCTTACAAGGTTCAGATTACTGTCACCGCTGTAGAGGTAAGAAAGCTGAGGCTTAGAGGGAGAACTATGACATCTAAAGTCATAAACTCATGTGGCAGAGCTAGAACTTAATGTTAACAAGATTTACCAAAAACTAAAGCCTGTGCTCTCCCTAACACTATCTCCTAAAAAAAGTAACTAAATGCTACACAGCATCCACACGTGGATGCATGCTAGTTTGCTTATCATTAACTTAAAATTAAATGCAGATTGGTTTTCTGAGACAGTATCATTTTACTGATGATGACGCTGACGCTCAGAAAGGGAGGAACTGAAATTTGAACCATGTCGGCGTGACCCAAAGCCTATGTGTGACACTGTCCTGAGAGTATCCAGGCCAGTTCTGATTGGATTTTCTTTGTCTTTCTTCATCTAGTTCTCTGTCAGCTTTGCTCACATGAGACAAGTCACTTCCTAGTATGAAAGCTGATACGAGACGTAGGAATACCTTCAGTCTTCTGTCTACAATAGCTTCACGTTTTGTATTACAGTACGTTTCAGCTGTATATTTCCAGTGTTATAATTATTCTTGCCCCACTTGTGCTTTGCTATTGAGAATTATATCACATTCCCTTAATGAAAGTCTTCATTTGCAAGAAAGTTATCTCATTTAATCCTTATAGAAACCCAGTTATTAATAGTTAGGCAAGAAGTGAATTGGTATCTCCTTTCTTAATATAAGGAAACTAAGAATAAGAGAGAACTGTTTCTTATCCAAGATCATGTACCCAAGGAACTGGCAGGACAGGGCCTAAGACTGAAGTTTTATACTTCTAGTGTAGTGTATACTCTCTAGCACAGATAGAATGTAACTCACCTTCCCACTTAGCGGCCCTTCCACTTTAAGATTCACTGAGTTCATGTCAAATGTATCAGTTAGCATGTTCCTGCATACTAAACAGTCCAAAATGCAGTGGCTTAAAACAGTAAGTATGTATATTGCTCACAAGTCTACAGGTCAGCTAGGTAGCTCTGCTGATCTTGACTGGGAGGTCAGCTGGCTGAGGGCTGATCTAGGATGACTTCAGCTGGATCAGTGAGGCTGTTTTCCATGTTCTTTCTTGTCCTCCAGCAAGCTAGCCTGGCTTCTTGACATGGTGGTGATAAGATCCCAAGAGGGAGAATGGAAGCACACAATGCCTCTTAAGATCGAGGCTGGGAACTGGCACACCGTCACCTCCACTGCGGTCTGTTGGCCAATGCAAGTCATAAGCTCAGCCCCAATTAAGGCGAGGAGGAGAATTGTACAATTTCTGGTGGGAAGGGCTATGAACTCACATTACAAATGATATAGATACAGGGGGAGGGGAGGCAATTGGAGCCATTTTTTCAGTCAATTGTTATCACTCTCTCTTGTTTTGACTGAGAAGAATGAAATTCAGAGAAGGCAAGCAATTTGAGGATTACCACAGAACGTCCGACAGAGTGAGGACTAGTTAGAACAAGAAATAAAAACCTGAAAAATCCAATGAATTAACAAAATGTCAACGCAACTGTCTGGGTTTTTTCCACCACACTGTGGTCTTTGGCACAGAGTGGCTTCCCCTTGTCCTTGGCTTTGCACTTTCTAAAGACAGCGTCCCTGGAAGAAGGAGATGTGGACAGCTTCTTCCATTCTCTTGGACGAGATCACCAGGTGTGGCATTCCATGTGCCTAATCAGGGCAGATTGCAAAGCTTTTGTTGCAGGCTCCTATTTTCTTTCCTCGTGTAAGTCCTTGCTGTTTGATTCAACAAGGCAGCAGCCAGCTTCATGAAAGGCAAGAGTCCAGGTCCGCACTGTTCAAATAAAATCATTGGATCATAGGAGATAAGTCGGGAAGAACTTTGCCCAAAAAACCCTAGGTTTGTTCTCTCATTTTACTAATGAGTTAACTGGCCTGCTTAGTTAGTGACAGCTAGTTAGTTGAAACCCCAAGGACAAGGCCCAAGTTTCCTGGAATCCAGGCTGAAGCTTTGAAATCAAGTAGTCTTCATTTTCATGCTTTTGAAAGCAAATTCATACCTGCCACCTTATTGGTATCCTCAGCCAGCCACATAATATAGTTAGGGGAGAGATTATTTCATGTGTTTGACACGTGGTGAATGTTTAACTGTGTGAGAGTGACCCGCCGCCCACAGCTGGTTACTGACGGAACCAGTCCTTTGACCCTAGTTCCTGACTCTGTGGGTATAGTTTTGTCCTGATGAATGGACTCTTCCAGGAGGATTATTCTTGGGTATTTGCAATACTGCTGAGTTTTTATTATTCTAACAAATTTCCTCATCGCATTCTTTGTGACAGGTAAAGAGATAAGGAAGAGGGGAGCACAGGGGCATTAGACACATGCTGGTGAGAAACACAGGCACAAAACAATGCAATGATGATACCATTGTGAAGCACATTTACATTAACTGCACACTTTTGCAGGTCCAGTCTAACTTTCTTTCCTCAACAATCCCTAATTGGTAGATGGCAAAATGGAGGCATGCGTACGCTACGATTTCCAAGAGCATTTCACTACATGGGAAAATACAAAGTAGCAAGTGCAGCATGTAGAATTAACTATGGATGATAATACAGCGATGGTCTGCAGGGGACTCCCCACAAGGACAGCAGGAAATATGTCAAAGTGTTAACAAGGATGTGGTCTGGATTATGGGGTTACAAACATCTTTTACATCTTTCGTTGTCTTCTTTATACTTGTCTTCTCACACCTTTTTTTTTCTTTGCAGTGACAATGTGTTACTTAGAGAGGAAGTAAGTTGTTAGAGACCACGCAAGAGAGATGGTGGTAGTGACCGCTGTGGGCTGTTGTGGGTGAGGCGGGATTAGCAAAGGAGAAGGGGCAGCTGAAACCGAGTGGGTGTCAGAGCTCAAGGGAGCTGAGGTGGGGTTTGCATGGGTGGCTGGGGCAGTGATGGGAGATAAGCTTTATATGAGGGAGACTGATCCAAGAAGGAAACATACTAAGGATATTTGGCAACCATCAGAATAGTAAATAATTTGTCCAAGAAATAGCAGTGGGAACTAGTAGATGAAAGTTCCGTGAGGAATGGTTTATTAACATAGTCTCAAAGTATTTATTAGTGAGAAAGAGAAAAAGAATAATTTTACAGGAGAGAATTTGGTAAACACCTTAATCAAGAGATCACAGTTATCATCACCAATAATGGGACAAGTCAAAATCATGAGCCACCTGATAGGGTCAAATGAGAAGAACACAGTATCACTTTGGTGAAATTCCTCCCCAAAATGCGTAGCCTCCCAACCTGAATCTAATCGTGAGGGACCATGAGAGACATTTACCAAATAATCGGCCTGTCATCTTCAAAAATGCTGAAGGCATGAAAGCTGCGGAGTCACTCACGTGACAGCCAAATGCAACACCTGACTCTCAGCTGGATCCTTTTACAATAAAGGACATTATTGGGACAACTGCCCAAATCTGATTGGGACCTGAGGAGAAGAAGAAACAATGCATCAGTTCTGATTTCCTGATTGGGTGGTTCTGTTTTGGTTATGGCGGAGAATGTCCTTATTTGTAGGAAATACATACTAAAGATTTCATGGATAAGGTAGGCAATTTACTCTCAGATAACTCATGAGAAACAAGTTGTTTGTTTTATTCTTACAGGTTTTCTGTACTTTGAAATTATTTTAGATTAAGAGGCATGGTATGGAAAGGATCCCAGGAAAGATTTGTGATATACTGAAAGCTATTTTAGTAATGTTACCACCCAGAAAATCTTATTTAAAGGTAGTGCTTTAAACTGTGTCTCCATTTTTCGAGAATTAACCAGGTAAAGTTAATGATAAGCTATTTTACAGCTAAAATGTTTATTATTATCCGGGTGATGCGATAAAATACTTGGTTTTGCTGTATAAATTATTAAATGATTTGGTCTGTTTGCATTCAGTGTGCAGCCCACACAGTATATAAAATGAAATTCCCATCTTAAGCATACGCACACATTTCCACACAAATGCCTGGAGAGGTCACTCAATTTACCCCAAATCACTGGAAAGTGGGAAGAGTTGAACTGCATCTCCGTCCTTCTGCTCCCAGTTCTGAACTCACGTCACAGGTAGTGGGATATGGATGGACAGTGCCAAGTGGGAGCCGTGGAGTGAAGGATCCAGCCTAGGCTCCCACATTAGAAGCAGAGACCCTTTTCGGGGAAGGACTGCTGTGTATAAGGAGGACGGAATCCATGGCAGCGAGGCCCACAGTCAGTAAGGGGGAAACGTAGGGAAGGATGCTCTGGACACTAGAAACCCTGCTCTGATACTTACTTGCTTATACTTTGGGACAGTTTTCTTTTAAGGATTGAAAACATTAACACAGGGTTTTTTTGTTCTGCTTTCTGTGAATTTTTAAAAGCCTTTAGAGTAGACATCCACTTTCTGGGTCCACCTAGGCCTCCCACTTCTGTCGTCCTACACCCTGCGTCTTCACCCCTGCGTCGCACCTGCCTCACCCCTGAATGCGTTGGAGTTTGTGAGTACAGACTTATGCTTTCTGTGCTTTGGTTAACCCAGGTGGTTGCCAGGTTGAAGGAGTCACTGTGTGTAGGGCCCTGGGGCCTCTCCGGCCCTTTCCTCTGCTCAGGTTTTGGAGGATGTGGTGAAGCTTCCAGTCCCTGTTGCACACTGGCACCACCTGGAGGGTGACGTCTCTTCTCTTCTGGTCTTGCAGGAAAGCGCATGTGCCTTGGAGAGCAGTTGGCCAAGTCTGAGTTGTTCATTTTCTTTACGTCCCTTCTGCAAAGATTTACCTTCAGGCCCCCAAGCGATGAGCAGCTGAGCCTGAGGTTCAGAATGGGCCTCACCATCGCCCCCGCCGGCCACCGCATCTGTGCTGTTCCTCGGCAGGAAGGTGTTGCAGCCAGAGGAGAAAGTGAGCAAGAGGAGTCCTCTGAGGGCTCTGGCCCCTTCTCAGAAGTGAGGGAGCAGGATGAAGGCGGCTCCGAGGAAAGATCATAGGAAGCGAGCTCAGAGGAAACGGGATCCAAATAGCCGCTTTGCGGTCTCCTCCAGTGTAGCCTGGAGCAAATCATTTGTGTTGTGAATGAGATGCACAGAGAATAATAATTCCTTCTCTGAAGGAAGAATTGCCCTAAGAATCAGAGGAAACAATGGACTTTAAGTGATTTGAAAGCATAAAGCACATCATAAAAGTGATAGCTGTGGTCTGCTTCCTTCCTTCACCGTGGATTGACTTCTGGCCTGTTGACAGGGCTCGGGTCCAGGTGACACCACGTGGCTGGTGAGGGTGGCGCCTTGGGCCCTGGGGTGGCCGCAGAGATTGGCCGTGAAGGCGCTCACTCTTGGCGGTGCTGTGGGAGATTTATTTGGCTCCTGCCTCCGAACGGGGCCTCGGGCAGTCCAGTCCGCAGGGCAGGCTCTCCCTATTTGGATATGAGGCAGGCTTCTGGGAAGAAGCGGCGTCTGTGCTTTACCTAAGGAAACACTACCTTGGCCTTAGATCCAAGACCAAGTAGAGTGTGACCACGATAAATAAACCTGGAAAGCAGGTTTGGGGAACAAATGTGGAAATACTTCCTATCTTTAAAGAGACCTTCTTGCTTCAAGTCCTTTATCAACCAATTATTCCCAAGCCCTTTCACGTTGGATTTACTGTGTGGTAGGTGTGGTCTTTTCTGGCCAATAGATTGTCAGCCTTTGAGGGCAAGTATCACCAGCGTAAACTCAGAGGCGCCTGGTAGAGTATTTTTTGGTGGGGACCCAGAAATGCTGGAGTCCTGCTCGACCCGACCCTCCTGCGTGAGTCGCTGAGGGGACGTAGTGGCCGTGAAATGGGAGGCCAGGTCACACTGATGCTCCACGGAGCTTTGACAGCAGCCCAGTGCCACGAAACACACACACAAACCGGTAAACGGGACTCGACTGTACAGAAGGGCTTTTTCTGTTAGTCCCAAATGATGTGAACAGCTCAGAACCAAGTGGGCCATGAGACCATAGGGCTTTTCTTTTCTGTTGTTTGGGCTGCAGAGAAAAGCAAATTCAGTGGACACCACTGGAAAGGGAAACAGAGATAGGGGGAGAGAGAGAGTTTGGCTGGAGCTGACCTGAGCTTGTCTGGAAGTCATGGGTACTTCTGGAAGAAAGGATTGGGTTTCCTAATGTGTGGGAACAGGACTTGGTCCCATTTGCCTTGTAGAAGAATGGGAAGTAAGGACCCAACCACCCCCCCGCCCCCCCCGGGCGCACTTTCTTTGTAACCTGCTGGAAAGCTGCATCTCTAGAAAACACCCAAATGATAGTCCTAGAAGAAGACCAACCAAATCAGGCCTTGAACTTCCCGAACGGCTTGTCTTCCATTTTTTTGCCCCTCCAATCAGATCACCCAAGGAGGAGACTTCTACTTTACAAAATACTTTATATTATGTGCTCAGGCTCCTCACTGGGAAAATGAAGGACTCTGTCAAAGTCATCTCTCAGTTCCATTCTTGCTCTGCTCTGCATTGTCTGTGATTCTGGATGGGCTGGGGTTCACCATGCCTTGGGGAGTAACTGTAAAACCATGGGTGCTCACCCTGACCTACTGGATGGAATGGGCCCCAAAGCCAAGCAGAGTGTGACCACAATTAACCAGAAACCTTGAGGAATTGATGATTGGGAGTAATTGAATTTTTTGGCCACGTGAAATGTCTCCCTTTTTTCTCAAAACTCATTTGAATATGGAAGATTTTGTTATCTGCACTTTTGTAACTCTTAGTCCCTTTCTATGTTGGAAGCTCCAGGGCCCCTACCCTCTTCCTTTGTCTGGGTGCCTGACACATAGTGCGCAGGCATATGACGTTTTCTGTGGCTGTGGACGAGACACAGACTTTACTGGAAAGCAACCCAGGCTGTGAAACTTCTCTCCAGCCTTGTCCTGTGGAGAGACACACACACGCAGGCTGCGGTGTAAACTTAAAATGAGGCTGGAGAGCAGAGGACTCAGGAGCAGAGAAGAAGCAGGGCGTGCGGGAACCCCAAGTTCCTAGGGAAATGTGCCAGGTTGAGCACAGCTGGAGTGCAGGCACCGGGGAGGGGTTCCACAGAGGAGCTGCTTCACAATGCCCTGCGTATGTATGACAGGAGGCACGGGCTGGCGGGGGTCTGTCTGGGTAACAAGGACAGCTTCCTGGGTGAGGAGGCAGCTTTGTCAGAACTGGGAACTCCAGAGCTTTAGGTCTGGTGTCAAGCTGTTCTGCCCCTGAGCTGACCAGCATCGGATCCAGCTTATTGCTAGGCTACCGAGAGGGAAGGGGGAGGGCATTAGAGATGAGTGTCTGAGAGGGACATCCAGTTTTGTCTCTCCTCAACCCCTTACTGTGACTTGGAGCAAGAATTTTAACCCTGCAAGCTTCCATTTTCTTCCTCTAAAACATGGGTTTGAGGGTAAAACCCTCACTCTGGGGGCCGGCCATGTGGCTGAGTGGTTAAGTTCGCACACTCTGCTTCAGCGGCCCAGGGTTTCGCTGGTTCGGATCCTGGGCACAGACATGGTACCACTCATCAGGCCATGCTGAGTCGGCGTCCTACATGCCACAACCAGAAGGACCTACAACTAGAATATGCAACTATGCACTGGGGGGCTTTGGGGAGGAGAAGACGACGAAAAGAAAAGAAAAACAGATTGGCAACAGATGTTAGCTCAGGTGCCGATCTTTTAAAAAAACAAACACACCTCACTCTGGTGGTGAGTATAAAATTCACAAACATGGAATCCTGTCTGCGTAGCAGATTGATGGCCTGGGATTCAATAGGGAACAAGGAAAAACAAACTACTTCCTCCACCAAGCCCCCACCACTCTGTGAACTACTCCTTTTTGCCTCTGAATGAAATTTTGGGCAGGGCCCATCACTTTTCTCCTCACTCTTAGATAACACATGCCCCTCTTGTCACATTCATTCCCAAGAACTTATTTTGGTCATTACAACTTGCCGGCCAGTGAGTACACAATTTACATAACTTCCTAATTTAACTCAGCTGTGCAACCCAGTTTTAGAACCGGAAGGTTTCCGGGCCAGGTAGCTGGGGGTGCAGCCAGCACTTCTCTCTGTGCCATGTGCTGCCTCCTTCAAGACCATCATACAGTGCCCTGGACCTGGATGTGCTGCTCCTTTAGCTCACGTCCTTCTCTCACCCTTGGGCATCTGCTAATTCAGCTCCTCTTTAGGCCATATTACCCTCGAGGCAGTCCTCTTGCTGGGATCCAAGATGGCCCCAAGATTGCTGTGCCACAGGGTCCACCTTAAGTCCCACATCTTTGTCACATTGTGCCAAAGTTGATGTGGGGCATCAGAATTGACCACCCAAAACATATCTCTTGGCTTGATTATTTTTGAGGACAAAAGACTCTGAAAGAAACCTGGACCTTACCCCTAAGTGACTAAAAGAATTTGAGTTAGAAGGCCTGTCGCCAGGACAAGTCACCGTCATAGATAACTCTGGGTATAATACACTGGGAGGATCCTCGCTGAGCCCATTTTTATCCAAGTTCTCTCCCTCGGGTCACATAGTCTATAGATGGCCCAGCAAACACTGTGTATCAAACAGTTGCTTTTCCATCTCTGTATAAATTGCCTTTCTCCTCTTTGTAGTCCCAAACCACTACCCTCACCCTTGTCCTCTGTCTTTAACTGAAGATAATATTTAAGGTGGTGGCTTCAGCTATTTTGGCGAGTTACTCAGTTTTCCTGGTTTTCTTCCATGTATACATGTTATTAAACTTTGATTTTCTCCTGTTATTGTGTCTCATGTCAATTTAATTCATAGACCAGCAGAAGGACCTAGAGGGCAGAGGAGTAGTTCCTCCTCCCCTGCAGTCACACAGTGTGGAGTTCCCTCCCAAAAGAGCCCTCTCATCACCACAGATGGCTTACCCAGTCTCTGTCCTATA